TGTAATACGGACACAAGCTAAGAAATGAATATGAAAGATAATGAGGACTGGTGGAGAGGAGACACAAGAACGTGACCATATTAAAACCTGCGAGAACTCGATAATACTGTTGGACAGATATAAATGGATGCCTCCCTGTTTGCAATGTATGCATGTGTGTCGGAGGCAGCATCTGTTTGTGATTGCGACTTTGCGATAGTGCATGGTATTTAACTAAAATATCTCGTGGAAAACATATAATGGACGGACAGACTCTTCTATACCATAATTCATCCCGTCGACACAGTTTAACGGGAATGTGACAAAAGTTTTAATTCTATAAATATATATTTGTGAAAGTCATATCGTAAGTTTCATGATTAGTTTGATACGCTCGCCTAGTAACGATTACGTCACCAGATATGGTCTAGTGCTTTCAATCTGTAGTTATATTCAGTCGACTGTCGCCCGCGTGCAGTCTCACGTTATACATTTCAGAGTTGAACTTTAAAATGCATGAATCGATGGCTGTAGATGATGAAGGCATACGGCTTGACCAGAAGAATGCTGACGATGACTTGCCCCGTCGAGAGGTTTGGTCGAACAAGGTAGAATACGTACTCGGATTGATCGGGTACACGATAGGTTTCGGCAGTGTTTGGAGGTTTCCGTACCTGTGTATGAAGAATGGAGGAGGTAATGTACATTGTTATCATATACAAGCTTTAATGTGTCACTGTTTATTACATTTTTACCAGTGAAATATTGAAAACCATTCATTCCATAAAAGTAATATTTTTCACTAGTGAAAAACATCACTTTTGCTGCTTTGTCATAAAAAAAGCCAGCAGACTATGCAGGTCAGCAATCGAACTTTTTGATCGGAGACAACTCATGTCATATGAAACACATTGTCAGCATCTCCAAGTCCAAAGTCAGAGACTAAACAATTGGAAGAAAGTATAAGAGAACAAGGGTCAAACATGTATCTTACTTAGTTGTTTGTTTATATCTTATCATCAGGATGAGTGGTGACAAAACGAAATCTGCATTTTCCCCACTCCCCACCGATGTAGTTTCGGCGCTTATTAACAACGCGTAGTGATCTGAGTTGATAGGACGGGACTTTTTCTAAATAATTTGATTGTGATAGTTATTTGGTACACTTTATTAAAAATAAAAATTTAAGTGCCTACTTAATAAAATTGGGTAATTAAAGGACTTTAAATTTAGTTTTTACATTTAATTTATTTATTTTTTTACAGAGAGGACTATATTTTGTCGCGTAGGGTTGCCTAAACATGCTAGTATTAAAAGGATCCAGCTCATGTATTGTCAGGTTGATGTGTGGTTTAGCGTTCCGGTGTAGGTTTTCGTAATTAAATGTTATAAACAGAATATCTAACAGTATCTTCAGTAATACCAAATATATTTCACATTTCACGAGTTCGAGTGGAAGATATCAATATATTAGCCACACGAGTGAATGATATTAAAATATCAGCCATTCGAGTGAAATATATGTAACGGAACTGGTCTGGGTCGATCGTCGGCGACCAGATAGCTCAATTGGTTGAGCGTCCGTCTAGAGTTCGGAAGAACCCGGGTTCGAACCCTGGTCTGGCCGTGCATTTTCCCTCTCCTGTTACATACATTTGGTATTAATGAAGATACTGTTAAATATCCTCTATAACTTTGCATCTTAGCTAACATGTACATATTATGGATCTGCCCATCTGAGGTTCAAACTCTTGTTTTGATCTAGTGCACTCCTCCATCCCAACATGTCATTGGACACCAAATCCAAGAAGATATGCCTCGGACCAACTTTAAGAAAAAGGAATGGTTAAAGGCCAAATTATAGGACACTGTTAGGTCAAAGTGACTATTTTCTTGCACTCTTCACTCCGCCATCCAAAGATGTCCTTGTACACTAAATCTGGTTACTCCAGTTGAAATAATAAAGAAGATATACCCAGTCCAACTTTTTCAAAAGTTAAGGTCAAATGTCAAATCATATAGGACACAGAATGGCCAAAGTGACCTTCTTGCACTCTTCATTATCCATCCAAAGATGTCGTTGTACACCAAATCTGGTTACTCCTGTTAAAATAGTATAGAAGATATTCCCTGACAAACTTCTCGGACGGACGGACGGACGGACGGACGGGCGGGCGGACGGACGAAGTGCAAACTTATATTCCTTCAAGAACCCTTAGGGGACTAAAAATATAATAAAACAATGTACTCTTTTTTCAGTTCATGAAAATCTACATGTTTGTCTAAATTGCCAAGCCCAATGCCCACTTTGAAACATAAGTTGGGTTTGTATTTGTTTTTCGAAACAACCTTCAAACTATAGTTCACTAATAACTATACTAGCGGAAAAAAGCAACTGTGCATGCCTAAAATGTGTTATAAAAATAAATGTGTATGACGAAGAACAACAAGGTTTTCAGGGACAATTTATTTGTTATTTATTAACAGTTGCATTCCATTTTCCACGTTATGGAATCAATAAGTTCCGCTCAGGAGTGACGTAAACACAATACTGAGTTCACAAAGTTAATACCTCGTATGCCAACCGTTTGCCTGATTGCAAGCCTGGCAACGTCGACGCATGGAGCCTATCAGACGGTTCAAGAATGCTTGTGGGATGGCATTCCAGATCTGTACTAACGCTGCAGCCAAATCAGCCAACGTCACCGATTGATTAGGTAATGCCCGTAATCTGCGCTTCATTTCATCCCAGACAAGTTCAATGAGCAACAGATCGGGGGATACAGCAGACCAGGGCAACACGTCAACGTTCTGCTCGGCCAGAAAGTCCATAGCGACACGAGCTGTGTGTGGCCTGGCGTTGTCCTGCTGTAGCGTAATGTGACGTTGCCGCCCTTGCACGAATGGAACGACGTTGGTCCGGTGGATCTCGTCACGGTAACGTAGCGCGTTCAAATTCCAGTTAACAACCCCCAGAGGCGTTCTCCCGTTGGCTGTGGTACCGCCCCAAATCATAACGCTGCCTCCGCCGAAAGAACGTCGTTGTACCACACACGCGTCACAGAAACGTTCTCCAACGCGACGATACACTCTGGAACGGCCGTCACTAATATCCAGGTGGACTCGCGACTCGTCCGTAAACAAAATGCCTGCCCAATCCCGTCGAGTAAATCGCAGATGCCTTCTGCACCAGGCCAGACGTGCTACACGATGACGTGGCAGAAGAACTGGGCGGATTGCAGGACGGCGCGGATGGATATCTCGTTCACGCAATCGGTTCCGGACAGTTCTCGGGCTTATTGGTAGCAATCCAGGGATTGTCCGTGCAGTCAAACTTGCCGTTTGGAAGCGATATCTCAAATGAACAAGCCGAATATGGTTGTCCTGTTAACTTGACGCCACACGTGGACGTCCCGTACGAGGTCGATCGCCGACGTGGCCAAACTGTTGATGTCGTCTCCACAAATCCCGGATTGTGTTTCAATGGACATGAAAACGTGTAGAGACAACGACTTGGCCCATACCAGCTTAAAGCATACCAATAATCCGGAGGCAGTTAGTTTCATTGAGCCTCGGCATAGCATTAATCACAAATTAAAATGTTATAATGCTGTTTTTACTGTTCACTGGTCTCAACAGAGTGACCCTTTTCATTGTCGAACTGGATGGCTGCACGAGAAAAACGTGCAAACTAGTCAACGCCCATAGAGAGCAAACTGCACGGGAAAAACTGTCAATGACACACGGATAGTGTGTATGTGTCATACTCGGTCATGTGTGTGAATTTTCATGTATATACAGTTGGTAATACATGTTCTATAACAATTATCCGTATGCACAGTTTCTTTTTCCCGCTAGTATATATACTAGTATTAACATTTTATCACAGTGACACTATACATATAGGTTTCACTTTTAATATAAAGTTTGGTTGTTTTCTTTCTTGTTTAGCGTCACTAAACATGGGAAACAACTATTATTAGTCGTATTTAATCCGTGTTTACATGTCATCAAAACGAACGTGCGTATCTATCTAATCATAACGTCACAAACGCCACAGCTTACCTGTGTTATACTTCCTGACCTTAGTAACAAGACCAGCATGTCAATGTGACAGGTGCATTCCTCATCCCTTTCTTCACGTTCACCCTGCTATGTGGATTTCCCCTGTATTATATGGAGCTGTGCCTTGGTCAGTTTTCCGGGAGAAGTGCCTTAATCGCCTGGTCACTATGTCCACTACTGGAAGGTAAGTTTTATACCTGTGGAAGGTAAGTTTTATACTTGTGAAAGGTAAGTTTTATACCTGTGGAAGGTAAGTTTTATACCTGTGGAAGGCAAGTTGTATACTTGTGGAAGTTAAGTTGTATTGTGGAAGGTAAGTTTTATACATGTAGAAGGTAAGTTTTATACATGTGGAAGGTAAGTTTAATACCTGAAGAAGGTAAGTTGTATTGAGGAAGGTAAGTTTTATACCTGTGGAAGGTAAGTTTTATACCTCTGTTACTAAGATGCATTTGCCTGTGTGTGTCTTACGTTCATCTTCCTGTTAACGCCTTTGATTTAATCATTGGATATTTGTTGAATAATACTGCTCAGCATAACTGACCATCGTTATCAGTTTGCAATATCTGCTTCCTTTTATTTAATAGACATTAAAATACGAACAAAATACTTAACACACCTGCATATATACTCTGCAGTATGTATAGGTAGATCGATTAAAGGGGAATCCACGATCGAATTACTTAAGCGGTAACGGACTAAGTCAATAATTGCAGAAGACACAAAGACGACATAAATGGAGAACGCCAGAGAAGTGAGCCATCTAGTCAGTTGTTTTTGACTCGACATGAGGAAAAATTCCTTCAGCTTAATCAATTAAGCACTAGCGAACGATGAAAGGAATTATATCAGTACAAAGTACTTGTTTCCTCATCATGTTTGCTAATGAGATTTGTATTATTCATGCCATGTATTTCGTTACTTGAACAAATACAGTTTAACCAAAGCACTAGTGGATGCACATAGGAAACATGATCTCTGTTACATTATTGATGTCGCCAGCTTAAGATCAGTATTCTTTCTCTCGTTCACATGATTCTTGAAGGTAGCAGCTTATCGAATATACATATTTTTAAAAAACTTATCCTATATGACACAAAAAAAGTCACAATACATTAAATTGCTCTTCCAGGCATTGGCTACTCAATGACCCTGATGACTATGATATGTACGTGGTACTACGGGCTGATCGTCGTCTGGGTGCTAATGTATCTGGGTTACTCCTTCTACCCGACCCAGCCCTGGGCTACTTGTGACAATGACTAGAACACGAACGAGTGTGTTGTACTTCGGTTGGGGCTCCAGGCAGCAAATAACACACCTAGGAACAACGCCTCTTACCTTCTCAATATATCCTCAGCTGAGGAAAGCCTCGACTTCTACCCAACGGCGGCCACCGAGTTTTGGAGGTAAGCAGTCGTCGGAAAGTCTTTTTGTCTCGAAACTAACAAACTCCTGAAAATAAAGCTACTACTTAACAACGTTTTAATAAGATTTGTTTTTTCTAAACCGTGGAAAAGCTTTTTTGAGCGTTTGGTAAAAATATTAATAAAGCCGTTTTTATTGCTTTAGGTGTTATCACTGTTGATGTATATTTCTACCTAGATGTTAACAATGGCGGCATGCTATCTTATAACAATAAAAGCAACAGACTGTTTGTGAAATTGTGAAACTTTTTTATTCGGGTTTGGTTTATGAGATTTTATTGTTCTGGTAATATCTGAGGTCGTAACATAGTGCCTCTGTGTATGTAACCTATTGTGTGTTTTGCATAATTGTAACGTAAAAAGTTTTAATTCTGTACACATTTGGTGGTCGGGTAGAAGAGTAAATAGTTCACTTTCCTTTCACGAAAACTGCCGACATTTGACTTTCTCATCATCAGATCTGACAACGATGGGGTAACCTACTTAACAGCTTGGGTTTTCTCCGAGTTTTCCAGTTTTACTCCTACAGATAAGACTTATTAACCATGCATCTGTTTTATAGATACAAGTTACTGAACGCGTCTACTGGAATAGACGATTGGGGGATTCCCCAGTGGCACATCATACTGGCCTTGTTCTTCTCTTATGCGTCCATGTTCCTTTGCATCGTAAAAGGAGTTAATTCCGTCGGAAAGGTAATATGCAGTTGATTCGGTACTCAAAAGATTGCTCTAAATGTCATGACCTCCGTGATAGATGTCGACTGCTGACGGTCAAACTTATAGCACAGGGTTTCAAACGATACAGGTTGATGAAGAATTTGGACAAGTTATATTTTCGCTTACATGGCGGATACCATCGATGAAGCTGAAGGCGCTTACCCTTCTAGAACACCTGTAAAATTGCCTTCGTTCATATTTTGCCCTAGTTTTATCAATTTTGAGTTTTGCTCCCTGTAAAAATCATTTCGGGAAGCATACAGTCGCCACTTTGTTCGTTCGTCCATCCGAAATATTTGTCCAGCATTAACTGCTGACTTGCTGAAAGTAGCTAAATGACATTCAAGTGATGGAATGGCGGTGTGTTGCTTACAAATATTTACTCTGTAAGCCCAAGGTCAATGTCACATCGACGTCAAAGGTCAAGTTCATTGTCTCGTTCATTGTTTATAACTGTTTGAAGATAATAAAATGAAATTAGATATGCAATTTATAATTTATTTAGGATGATAGGCTGCGCGTTGCATACCATTATTTGATCTGTACGCTGAAGGTCAAGGTCACATTGAGGTTATAATATTTCAGCTTTATTTACCTTTTATTATTGGAGGATGTGTCGTCAGTTTTTTTTATGAATTTCTGGTTAATTTAAAAATTTCACAAGTAGTATCAACACTTAATTCTATAAAATAAAAACCTCTTTTCTTTATGTTGGATTGCAACGCTGTGTGTCACATTGAAGTAATATTATTTAAGTGACTTCTCTATGGAGCAAAGCCATCAGTTTTACTAATTACCTTTTGTGGTGGTAATATTTTACTCAAAAATTGTAAAATGTTGAAAATAAATCTCTATGGAGCAAAGCCATCAGTTTCACTAATTACCTATTGTGGTGGTAAAATTGTGCTCAAAAATTGTAAATTGTTGAAAATAAATATCTACTGTTCTAAACTATCCGAGAACTAATGGTCTGTTCAAAAATATTTGAGTAATGTAGCCATTTTAACTTTCAATTTAATATTTGTTCTTTGCACTTTTTTGGTTGTGTAATGACATTTCTTTCAACATGTTCTTTTTTGTTACCTGATAATGGACCTAATGACCTCTTCTATGTTGATACGCTGTAAAGAATGTAATGATGATTGCAATTGCCATACGTATAGCGATAATATGTTACTTGTAGTGTTATTTTATACCTGGTAATTTTAGTTGGGTGTTTATGTCGCCACAAAAGCAAAATCTAACATCTTCTTCGTTTTTTTGTCTGTATTGCTATACGGCTCATCGAAATTTTCATCATTAAGCACTTAAAACAGACGTTCACAAACAGGAATATAATAAACTTAAACTAAAATATTTGAAAAGATGAAAAAAAGTCATAAAGTCGCAAATTGGTAATAAAACATGTTATCATCTATTTTAATTAGGTTGTATATGTTACTGCGATCGTCCCGTTCGTTCTACTACTTGTGATCCTAGTGCAGAGTCTGTGTCTAGAGGGATCCTTAGACGGGGTGCTGCTCTACCTCAAACCTGACTTCTCTAGGCTGCTGCACTTCCAGGTACGGTTTTTACAAATGTATAACACAAACACATTTATGCTTTATACTGTTTCTCACACATCAAAAATATGGATTCATATTTTGGATGTTCAGCATTCACGGAGTACATTGTATGTATATTTAAATTTCGTTTCGTTAAAGGAGATCGTCAGATAAAAATATTCCAGTCGCAGCAATGTACTCGTAATGCAATGTAGTCAAACAAACGAAGCTAGCAGCGAATAACGACGGAATCGGAAATGTGATTGTCATGCTTATATGTTTAATTATGCTATATAATAACTGCAAAGTTTTTGGGGGGTTTTCTCTACGAAAAAGCTTCCTTTTTTTGTTAAGACAGCAAAGAGTTTGGTTTGGTTTGGTTTAATTTTGTTTAACGTCCTATTAACAGCTAATGTCATTTCAGGACGTGCCTCCGTGTGTGTAGTGTATGCGTGATTGTGTGTGTGTGTGAATGCAGGAGACAGGGTATGTTGTTGTGCTTACCTCTTAGTGATAGCGCGGATCTGATGCCGACTTCATAGTGCTATCTCACTGAAATGTCATGCTGTAGGCACCAATCACAGCATTCCGCCCGGTCACATTTACTGACAACGGATGAACCAGTTGTTACCATTCCCCTAAATGCTGAACGTTAAGCAGGGAAAAGCAACTACCATTTTTTGGTATGTCCCGGCCTGGGGACAAAACCCATTGCCTTCCTCACCTGGGCGAACGCTCAACATTCAAGTCAAAAGTGAGGTGTTGCCAAGCAATGCGCTAGGAAATAAAAGGTATCTAGAAGTAGAAAGAAAGATTAAAATTCCAAATATAGGACACTAAAGCAAATCTCCATATCTGCAAGTGGTTCGCGCATTAGTAGCCTCCTACGATACATGTCGTGGTAAACCGCAGGTGTATTCTTTTCCCTATCCTCTTCTTGTAGGGGTGCAGTAGAGAGTAATGGTTAAGCATCTGACAGATCAATCAAAGTGCCACCAAATTCTCAGAGTACTTAAGTGTATAAAAGTATAGAATTGAGATTGTCTGCTTGTTTATTAGTTACTGTCCTCGCAACAGCAAATTGCATACAGACAGGTGCCTATAGTGACAAGGAAAAGTAGGTATGAGAGTTTAATGCAATGGGTTTAATGTACAACGAACAGCTAAGGTCATTTAAGGGCTTGCCTCATTGGGTTAGGGTTAGGGTTAATTTATATTCATGCGTTTAGGAGGGTGTTATTTTTGTAGGAAAAGATATCAAAACGAAGTGGTGCAATAGGGGCAGCAGATCATGTTTGGATTTTTCAATGTCTCCTTAGCAGAATGCAAGGAAGATTTTGCAGGGGCAACAAGATTAGTTTACTCTAACATCCTACATTGGGGTACAGCAGGACTATTGTTTCCCCGAACTTGCAGAGGTTTATAGAAGTGAGAAAAGGAAGAGGGCGATCATCTCAAGTAGGATAGAGTTGGCATATTTTCCCTTTACTTGATGTGTTAAAAACACTACTAATTCAAAAACTTGTGCAGATCCATACACACGCTATTGAAAGTGTTGCCCTAAATCACCTAAATTGACAATACAAAAAACGAAATCGGAAAGGTTTGAATTCAGAATATTATACGGTTATTGTTCACAAATTAAACTGAAGCTTTCTATAAAGGTGTAACAAAGTCATGTGAATAACATCTTCTGTTTTTATCTTTCTGTAACATAAGTATTAATGATTTTGTCCGGCGATGCTTTTAGGTGTGACCGACATACATTGCAAAAAGTGATATATACATTAAAAACCAAACAGTTTGACACATTCCCTCTGAATATACAACTCATTTTGCAATGAAGGGTTGGCGTATATACATGTATCGTAATGAAAAACTTAATATAAATTACTTTATTGTATGTTATAGAGGGATCATTAAATATTGAATTCCAAAGAAACGTTTGTCCATAAAATTTTCTTTAGGTATGGCTAGAAGCGGCCCTACAAGTTTTCTACTCTCTAGGACCGGCTTGGGGTGGAATAATAACTATGGCCAGTTTCCACAAGTTCCATGGCAACTGTCTCAGGTAAGATATATCAGTAGCCCAAAAATGTTTTCAGGATAACTGCTTAGTTCATATAATAATATAGGAATAACATTTATTTATACGATAAATAAAGCTATATTTCCACATGGAGGGGTATACAATGGGTCTAATCCTTCTTAAAATCGTAAGGTGCCGATAACAGTAAAACATCAGACCTTAGGTTTTCTTCTTTGTTGATAGGGATGCCATTCTCTTTGTAAGTGTGGATGCCGTCGCCAACTTCCTATGTGGTCTGGTCGTGTTCTCAATCCTTGGATTTCTGGCTCGGGAAGCTAACGTAACCATCATGGAGCTAGCAGAATCAGGTAAGGGGAAATGTATCATGATATATAAAACAACAAGACGAATGATCGCGTATTGGTATTGTAAACAAATTGCAACTTGAACAGTTCGGCTTTCAGAATCGCAGATTACATTTTATTAGGAAATAAACTCCAATGTACAAATGTACCACAACCTGCTCAAACTTTCTATCATCAGGAGACATAGTTATATTTTTCTCATTCTATTTACCAATGATTGCCTATATTTTCAATCCATTGCAATAAATAAAGCTTTGGAAAGAATTGAAAACAATAAAAGAAAAAGTTAAATAGTCTTAAACAACTTGTACTTGTACTTGAACATCAACCTTATCGCCATGCTGGTTATATGCCTTTTACAATCAAACAGTTTTCAATCGAATGCATCGATTTTACATTCATGAATAAACGATATAACATTTGAAGTTTTTTGAATGCATATTTTTAGTTTTTGTTTTGCCTTAAATGGCTCCACTTATCGATGAACCTTAAACATTCCCAAGAAATAGAATATAACAAATAGACTGCGATGTGAAATACTTGAAAGTTGAAAATGATACAATTGACGAAAGGAAAACATGCAAAACTTTCTAAGGCTCACTGATAGCGAGGATCGATATTGACATTTGATCAAAGGTGTGTGTGGCAGATGTAAAGAATTACCTACACCAGCTAGCCATTTCATTTAACGTAGTTAATGAAATTGAACACGATCAAGGTAGGGGTCATAAAAACAATTACAGACTACATGTTAGGTTGCCAAATAATCACTTTAGTCCCATTATATCTGGCAGTGTGACCCTCGAACTGGCGGTGACAACGGTTTGCAACACGTACTTTCATACATGTAACGCAGTTAGCTCCCCTGACACATAAAAATGGTAGCACAAAACGATGCATATGTCTGAATATTGTAGTGAAATGATTTGTACTATTGGAGCAATTTGGAGGCCCATTTTAATTAAGACTTGTATAGTTTCATGGTTCGTAATTTTTGCATAATGCATATAAAGGAGGGATAAAATATATCGCTTATTAATTATCTTGTGTTTTGTTGTATATGTTACACTGTATAGCTGGTGCTAGTTAAGTTCTTGTTCTTGTTTAATAATATTAGTTTAAAAGAAGATGAGTTACATTACAAGTCATCATTTTGGTTTGTTTTTATTATTTTATATTTTGTTGACAATTACGACTTTAATAAACAACAAAACAAACCCCACTTTCCGGTAATAAGGATAAACAAGCACAGCCTTATCTAGGAAAGCTAGAAAACCACTGCAATTATATATATTTTATATTATGATAATATTATTATCGGCATTACTTATAAATAACCTCAATCTGTTCCAAATGTTGTGTAGATGAATGATTTATTCCTTAATCAGTTTTATAATTTATTCCATTTGTGGATAAATTAATGAACGAATCAGTAGTGTAAACTATCTAAAGGGTATATGAGACGTTTTAATTGTATTGTATACTGTAACATTAAAATATATATATATTCATGCAAGACTTAATTAAAATATATCAAATCAAGTGTGGTTGTGTTTGGTATAATGTAACACACGTCTTCATATGATGTTATATTGGGAGGGGGGGGGGGGAATGTGGACAAATTCATTCACAAGTGATCGTAGCACAGTGATAAACATTTGTATAAGTGAAAGGGTGTTTAATAAAGTCGGTATATAGGAGGGATTAATAAGGTGTATTGGGGAAGGGAGTTGTACGGGGTATGTAAAGAAATTGTTGTAATATGATCAAACATGGACATTTTGACAGGTCCCGGCCTGGTGTTCTTGGTATATCCCGAGGCTCTAACCCGCCTGCCTATTCCACAACTGTGGGCCGTCATGTTCTTCTTCATGCTGTTTACTGTAGGACTCGACAGTCAGGTATGATTAAAAGGTGTAAAATAATATATCGGGACAAGTACAAATATTCATTTGAACATTTTCATTATTTCTTTTATTGAAACGGACAGCTTCAAGATTATTTATACCTGGCCATCGATGTTCTTGAAATAACACGAAATTAGTTCCAATCATCATTTCTGAGGGTTTTAAAGTTATCTTTTGAAATATTACTCTATACGGTGGTGTGCTTTGCACAAAGTTTTAGCTTTGTTGTGTCAAAATAATATTCGATTTCAAAGAACAGAAGTATTTTAATGTCAATACTATAATAAAACTTATACCATCTGAATGTTTTACCTTACCTTTCTCTATCTTTATCTGTAGTTTGGTATGCTGGAGGCAGTAATAAGTGGACTCACGGACAGATTTCCGAAAACCTTGCGTAAGAGGAAAACTCGCGTCTTACTGGCAGTGTTTGTGCTCTTCTTCCTGACCAGTATCATATTTTCAACACAGGTAATCGTTTCAGTTTACACAAGTGTTCAACAAAAGTAACAATCGGACGTTTGTCATTTTTCTATTTATTGCATTTGTATCAGTTAAACAACCGTTTATTCCCAGCATGTTGGAAGACTTTCCGGTAAGCAATATGACAACAGCCACGATTTCAGTTTCCCTAACATGAACGTTCCCTTTCTTGATAGTAACATTGCTGCTTCTCTCACTTACGGTTTTCCAACTAAGTTAGGGTTAACTGTCCCTACAACAACGAATCAACGGCAAAGGATAAAATAAAAATCATAAACCGATATTTAGTATATAGAAACCTTGCATTGTGGGGGTTTTCGTCAGCCGTAGGAATTTTTACTTGTTACTTGATGTTCAAAGAAGGCATTTTAAACCAAATTCACTGCTACATATTAACATTATCGATTGGGAAAATAAGGATGTTCCTATCACGAAGCACACGATAGGAAAATATAGTATAAATGGTGTCCCTGTTGGTCATCCTGCAAGTAATCATCCCTGTTAGTCAATAGTAATGAAGGATAAAGAGAAACTTATTACACAAAAGAAATAAGTTAAAATATGCAAACACAAGTATACAACAAAATGGTCACAATTATTGTTACACGAATGACAAATAATTTATAAATATCTTAAGGTAAAGGATAAGATTACGTAGATAACAAAAGATTCTGGTCCAACAGAGGATGCAGAACAACGTTTCATACCAAACATGAGCGGGAAAATGGCTGAGACTCTAGGCTACGCTTAGTGTGTCGTTCAATCGGCTTGCGACATTTTCAAGGTTAAAACTTCATTGAACGTGGACCCACTGTTGATTTGACATTTCTGTCAGGACGCGATAGAGCTGATGTCCTTGCTGTGTGAAGCCGAGGATATATAGTGAAAGTACAGAAAAAAAATATGATATGATCTGTTTTTCATTCCAGTCAGGGGTATACATTTTCCAGCTTGTTGACTGGTACGAGTCCACGTTCTGTATCTTCATGACGTCATGTCTAGAGTGTGTTGTGATTGGCTGGTTGTACGGTGAGAACAATTGTTTAAACTATTGTTTGAAATGTCGTTAGTTACTTTTCTTGTGCTTGTTTTATTTGTTTAAACACTTAGTTAAATATTTTACATTTTAGTTTTGACACTAATATAATGACACCTCAATATACTGACTTCAGCTAAATAAGGTTATTGTACCCTGAATGAATAAAGTTTATTATTATTTCTATAGAAAAAGGACAAAGAGCATTGTGCTTTCAAAGGTGGTATCATTTCAAAAACATTATGTTGGTAATGCATGCGTTTTGAGTTTAATAAAGCGAATCATGGCACTTACACTTACAGGAGCTGAACGCTTCAGCAGAGATATACAGATAATGACTGGGTCCCCAATACCGGTATTTATACGGATATCCTGGTGTATTGTCACCCCTCTAGTTATGATGGTAAGTCTATATACAGATATCCTGTTGTATTGTCACCCCTCTAGTTATCATGGTAAGTCTATACACAGATATCCTGATGTATTGTCACCCCCTTAGTTATGATGGTAAGTCTATATACAGATATCCTGGTGTATTGTCATCCCCTTAGTTATCATGGTAAGTCTATATACGGATATCCTGTTGTATTGTAACGCCTCTAGTTCTCCTGGTAAGTCTATATACAGATATCCTGTTGTATTGTCCCCCCTCTAGTTATCATGGTAAGTCTATATACGGATATCCTGGTGTATTGTCACCAACTTGGTTATGATGGTAAGTCTATATACGTATATCCTGGTGTATTGTCTGACCTTAGTTATGATGGTAAGTCTATATACAGATCTCATGGTGTATTGTCACCCCTCAAGTTATCATGGTAAGTCTATATAGAGATATCCTCGTGTATTGTCACCCCTCTAGTTATGATAGTAAGTCTATATACAGATATCCTGGTGTATTGTCATCCCCTTAGTTATGATGGTAAGTCTGTATACGGATATCCTGGTGTATTGTCTGACCTTAGTTATGATGGTAAGTCTATATGCGGATATCCTGGTGTATTGTCACCCACTTGGTTATGATGGTAAGTCTATATTCGGATAACCTGGTGTATTAACACTCATTCAGTTATGTTGGTAAGTCTATATACGGATAACCTGGTGTATTAGCACTCAATTAGTTATGTTGGTAAGTTTATATACGGATATCCTCGTGTATTGTCACCCCTCTACTTATGATAGTAAGTCTATATACAGATATCCTGGTGTATTGGCACCCCCTTAGTTATGATGGTAAGTCTATATACAGATATCCTGGTGTATTGTCACCCCTATAGTTATCATGGTAAGTCTATATACAGATACCCTGGTGTATTGTCACCCCTCTAGTTATGATGGTAAGTCTATATTCGGATAACCTGGTGTATTGTCATCCTCTTAGTTATGATGGTAAGTCTATATACGGATATCCTGGTGTATTGTCATCCTCTTAGTTATGATGGTAAGTCTATATACGGATATCCTGGTGTATTGTCACCCTCTTAGTTATGATGGTAAGTCTATATACGGATATCCTGGTGTATTGTCACCCCTCTAGTTATCATAGTAAGTCTCTGTACAGTATTCTGGTGTATTGTCACCCCTCTAGTTATGATGGTAAGTCTATATACAGATATCCTGGGGTAATGTCACCCCTCTAGTTATGATGGGAAGTCTATATACGGATATCCTGGTGTCTTGTCACCCCTCTAGTTATCATAGTAAGTCTCTGTACGGTATTCTGGTGTATTGTGACCCCTCTAGTTATGATGGTAAGTCTATATACGGATATCCTGGTGAATTGTCACCCCTCTAGTTATGATGGTAAGTCTATATACAGATATCATGGTGTATTGTCACCCCTCAAGTTATCATGGTAAGTCTATATACAGAAACCTTTGTGTATTGTCACCCCTCTGTTAACATGGTAAGTCTATATTCGGATTACCTGGTGTATTAGCACTCACTTAGTTATGTTGGTAAGTCTGTATACAGATATCCTCGTGTATTGTCACCCCTCTAGTTATGATGGGAAGTCTATATACAGATATCCTGATGTATTGTCACCCCTCTAGTTATGATGGTAAGTCTATATACAGATATCATGGTGTATTGTCACCCCTCAAGTTATCATGGTAAGTCTATATACAGAAACCTTTGTGTATTGTCACCCCTCTGTTAACATGGTAAGTCTATATTCGGATTACCTGGTGTATTAGCACTCACTTAGTTATGTTGGTAAGTCTGTATATAGATATCCTGGTGTATTGTCATCCCCTTAGTTATGATGGTAAATCTATATACAGATATCCTGGTGTACTGTCACCCGCTTAGTTATGTTGGAAAGTCTATATACTCTATATACGGATATCCTGCTGTATTGTTACCCCTCTAGTTATGATGGTAAGTCTATATACGGATATCCTGGTGTTAGTTATCATGGTAAGTCTATATACAGATATCCTGGTATATTGTCACCCCTCTAGTTATGATAGTAAGTCTATATACAGATATCCTGGTGTAATATCAAACCCTTAGTTATGATGGTAAGTCTATATACAGATATCATGGTGTATTGTCACCCCTCAAGTTATCATGGTAAGTCTATATACAGATATCCTGGTGTATTGTCCCCCCTCTAGTTATCATGGCAAGTCTATATACAGATACCCTAGTGTATTGTCACCCCTCTAGTTATCATGGTAAGTCTATATACAGATACCCTGGTGTATTGTCACCCACTTGGTTTTGATGTTAAGTCTATATTCGGATAACCTGGTGTATTAGCGCTCATTTAGTTATGGTGGTAAGTCTATATACGGATAACCTGATGTATTAGCACTCAATTAGTTATGTTGGTAAGTCTATATACGGATATCCTGTTGTATTGTCATCCCCTTAGTTATCATGGTAAGTCTATATACGGATATCCTGCTGTATTGTCACCCCTCTAGTTATGATGGTAAGTCTATATACGGATATCCTGGTGTATTGTCACCCCTCTAGTTATGATGGTAAGTCTATATACAGATATCCTGGTGTATTGTCACCCCTCTAGTTATCATGGTAAGTCTATATACGGATATCCTGCTGTATTGTTACCCCTCTAGTTATGATGGTAAGTCTATATACAGATATCCTGGTGTATTGTCTCCCCTCTAGTTATCATGGTAAGTCTATATACGGATATCCTGCTGTAGTGTTACCCCTGTAGTTATGATGGTAAGTCTATATACAGATATCCTGGTGTATTGTCACCCCTCTAGTTATCATGGTAAGTCTATATACGGATATCCTGCTGTATTGTCACCCCTCTAGTTATCATGGTAAGTCTATATGCGGATATCCTGGTGTATTGTCACCCCTCTAGTTATCATGGTAAGTCTATATACGGATATCCTGCTGTATTTTTACCCCTCTAGTTATGATGGTAAGTCTATATACGGATATCTTGGTGTATTGTCACCCCTCTAGGTATGATGGTAAGTCTATATACAGATATCCTGGTGTATTGTCACCCCTCTAGTTATCATGGTAAGTCTATATACGGATATCCTGCTGTATTGTCACCCCTCTAGTTATGATGGTAAGTCTATATACGGATATCTTGGTGTATTGTCACCCCTCTAGTTATGATGGTAAGTCTATATACAGATACTATGGTTTATTGTCACCCCTCTGTTATCATGGTAAGTCTTCATTCGGATTACCTGGTGTATTAGCACTCACTTAGTTATGTTGGTAAGTCTGTATATAGATATCCTGGTGTATTGTCATCCCCTTAGTTATGATGGTAAGTCTATATACAGATACCCTGGTGTATTGTCACCCCCTTAGTTATGATGGTAAGTCTATATACGGATCTCCTGGTGTATTGTCATCCCCTTAGTTATGATGGTAAGTCTATATACTGATATCCTGGTGTATTGTCTGACCCTTAGTTGTGATGGTAAGTCTATTTACGGATATCCTGGTGTATTGTCATCCCCTTAGTTATGATGGTCAGTCTATATACGGATATCCTGGTGTATTGTCTGACCCTTAGTTGTGATGGTAAGTCTATATACGGATATCCTGGTGTATTGTCACCCTCTAAGTTATGATGGTAAGTCTATATACTGATATCCTGGTGTATTGTCATCCCTTAGTTATGATGGTAAGTCTATATACAGATATCCTGGTGTATTGGCACCCCCTTAGTTATGTTGGAAAGTCTATATACGGATATCCTGGTGTATTGTCACCCTCTAAGTTGTGATGGTAAGTCTATATACGGATATCCTGGTGTATTGTCACCCCTTAGTTATGATGGTAAGTCTATATACGGATATCCTCGTGTATTGTCACCCCCTTAGTTATGACGGTAAGTCTATATACGGATATTCTGGTGTATTGTCACCCCCTTAGTTATGATGGTAAGTCTATATACGGATATCCTGCTGTGTTGTCACCCTCTTAGTTATGATGGTAAGTCTATATACATATATCCTGGTGTCTTGTCATCCCCTTAGTTATGATGGGTCAGTCTATATACGGATATCCTGGTGTATTGTCTGACCCTTAGTTGTTTGGAAAGTCTATATACAGATATCCTGGTGTATTGTCACCCCCTTAGTTATGACGGTAAGTATATATACGGATATTCTGGTGTATTGTCACCCCCTTGGTTATGATGGTAAGTCTATATACGGATATCCTGGTGTATTGTCACCCGCTTAGTTATGATGGTAAGTCTATATACGGATATCCTGGTGTACTGTCACCCGCTTAGTTATGTTGGAAAGTCTATATACAGATATCCTGGTGTATTGTCAACCCCTTAGTTATGATGGTAAGTCTATATACGGATATCCTGGTGTACTGTCACCCCCGTAGTTATGATGGTAAGTATATATACAGATACCCTGGTTTATTGTCACCCCCTTAGTTATGATGGTAAGTATATATACGGAGGTGTATTGTCACCCCCTTAGTTATGATCGTTAGTATATATACGGATATCCTGGTGTATTGTCACCCCCTTAGTTATGATGGTAAGTCTATATACAGATATCCTCGTGTATTGTCACCCCCTTAGTTATGATGGTAAGTCTATATACAGATACCCTGGTTTATTGTCACCCCTCTAGTTATGATGGTAAGTATATATACAGATACCCTGGTTTATTGTCACCCCCTTAGTTTTGTTGGAAAGTCTATATACGGATATCCTGGTGTATTGGCACCACTTTAGCCATGGTGGTAAGTGTATACACGGATAGTATTGTGTGTCGTCACTCATTTACCTTGGTTATGATGGTAGGTCGATATTTAGGTTAAGGCATTCGGATATAAAATTATAACGTTACGTTATGATGGTAAGTCTATACACTAATACCTTGGTAATATCTTTAAAGTAAAGAGAAAAGTGTTCATGTTATATAAAATTAATCGACTTTACAACAGTTATGAACAAAATTATTCGAGTTTACATTAATCACTCGTTGACCCAGACGGAAGCACAGACAGGATATTGTTGCTAGGGGAACATTGGGTATCGGGAGGAAACCAAAGTGGTCAGGCAGATGAACCGTCTGTGTGAAAGCGTGTGTGTTATCCAATACGACAACCGACATTCAAATTTGTGTCTATTTTTTATGTTGAGCGACAGGCTCATTTAAGTCCTCAACCGAAATGTTCAGCAACTTTTGAAACAACGTTCAGCCATTCACTGTTGTTTTTCGTATAAACAGTAAATGTTTATAACTTAAGCACGATACGGCCCGGACAATTTCGTTGACCGGCAAGTTCATTTAGGGTTCGAATCCCAGTCTAGCTCCGCAAAACTTTTTACACTTGGAACACTCTTGTTTGTGTTATATGTTGTATACCATCTTAATTTATGTTTTATATAGGTCTGTTAGTTCTCTTGTTAAAGAAAATGATTTATCAAAGGTATAGTCATGCTAGAAAAAATATTCTATCTATTAGTTACATTCTGCAATATTTCACGACTGCGTAACCACTTACCGTATATTTCCAGCAAACTCTGTTTGAATGTATGCGACTGGTAAAAAGCCATTCAAAATTTATCAGATAGAATATTTCCAAAATTATGAATGAAAAATGACGGTTCGTTAACTCTCTCAGTCGTCTCACAATACTGATTTTCACCAGTAGCCCTTTGATTAAGTGCGCTCCATATAGAAAACTTCCTGACATATATTTTATGGGTATATCGTCCTACACGGGATATTCCCGGTACACCTACAGCGGTATATACAATCGCATTAATATCGTTGTTACACAGATGATGAATATTTCTACAATAACAGAGCTAGTTTTAGGGGCATACAGTACAATGATCTGTATTTCACGCACGTTTACAAAATGTTGTAAAAACTTGACTAGACCTTATCTGGTGTTATCAACTTGTTAAACCGATAAATAAGAACAAGAGTGGGTTTCGCTATGATCAGTATTCCTTTCTCGCCATCGTTTTAGCCGCCAATGTTGCTCGGTGAAACCTTTTGGAAGGTTTTGAATATAAAGGCAGGATAACGATGTGTAATGTTGTAACTCTAGAGTCAAGCTTGTTTTAGGTTCGAGCGACGTACTTAAGATTGGTTGGTTATATAAGATTTAACGTCCTATCACCAGCTAAGATCATTTAAAGATGTCTTTGTGTGTGTTGTGTATGTGTGTATGTGTGTATGTGTGTGTATGTGTTCATGTGTGTATGTGAGTGTGTGTATGTGTGTATGTGTGTATATGTGTATATGTATATGTGTGTATGTGTATATGTGTGTATATGTGTATGTGTGTATGTGAGTGTGTGTATGTGTGTATGTGTGCTGTGTATGCGTGCATGCGTGCATGCGTGTATGTGTGCTGGAGGCAAGGTATGTTGGTGTATGTTTCCTCCTGGTGATAGCCCGTATCTGATGACAACTTTAAAGTGCTATCTCACTGAAATACAACGTGGAATGTGAAAGGAACCCAGCATAACATTCCGCCCGGTCACATTATACTGACAACGGGTGAAACAGTTGTTGTTGTTATTCCAAGTGCTGGACGTTAAGCAGGGAATATAAACTGACATTTTTAAGGACTCTGAGCCCATTGCTTTCCTCACTATGGCGAACGTTCAACATCACAACCAAATTGAGGCTTTGCCAAAGAAGTCGCTAGCAAACGAAAGGTAGTTAGAAGTAGAAATACAAATATCCAAAATATTGCAATGGGTGCAGCAGACTTATTTTGGTCGCTTTTGTGTCCACAAAGTAGAGGGCACAAAAGCAAATCCCCATTTCTGCAGGGGGTTCCTGCATTAACTGCCGAAGACGGATTTCAGTCTTGTGACGTTTAATTGGTGGGAATAAATCATTCACCTTACGTTACAATATATTGCTCAATAGGCAAGTTACATTTGCAAATTCTTTTAAACTCATCCCTACATTGTAGCAGGTACTGACCACATAGGTTTAACTTACAGTTACCCGAAAAAGTTCTAATTCTGCAACTTTCCAGTGAAAAGTTCAAACTTTACAACTTTCCAGTTACCAGACTAATAATATGATCCTACCCCTAAATCACCATTCGACATTGTAGCCATAAAATAACACATTGAAAGTTACAAGTAACAAAGTAAACTAAATGTTACTAAGTGTAAATAGGAGTAACTACATTTTTATGCAGACGATTACTATATTTATTTATAGCTTGCGTTCATTGCTGTGCTAGTGAACTTTGACCGTCCTGTGTACAAGGGTTACGAATACCCAGAATACATAGATATCGTCGGAATCCTAATCGGCCTTGTCTCCGTCCTACCGACTCCGGTCATCGTCCTGAAGCGACTGGTCAAACAGCGCGGCTCCCTTACACAGGTAAGCATGATGAGCATGTTTTCGTACATATAAACCATTTATCATTTACCATCGATCTAACTGGTGTTGGGCGGTTGTTACGGTTTACCGTCCTATCGTCAGCTAAGGTCAATGAAACCCGCCATGTATGTTTGATAACACATAGATAAGTATTGCAGGTGTGAAAGTAAGACAACTTTGGTCTTGTCGATAACGCCTTAATAGAAGGCATCGAAGAAAAACCAAGATTATGCACGTGCCCAACACACATTTTGAGACAATGTAAGCGGGAAGGGGAACATAATGTCTTTGCATCAGCCAAGGACATTTGAAGGTGACTGCCTGAAGAGACAACGCCGAAAACAAAAAGTGGGACAAGAAAAATAAAAAGATCCAAAGTGTTGCAATGGGAGAAGCAAATTAATTTAGATTTTGAAGAAAACCCTTGTTTGTTAGGTATTGTCCAATGACTCACATTGTGAATGATTGTCATTAAATAGTCAGTTGGGGGTTCAAACCAAAGTACTTATAAATGGTAATTGTTATTCCCTGCTTCACCTTCACTATTTAGGGCAATGGTAACAACTGGCTTTCTCATTGTCCCTATAAAAAAATTAATGTGACCGGGCGGCATGCTGCGCTGGTTGCCTTCGGCATGGTTTTTCTGTAACATAGGACAATAAAGTCGGCATCAGATCCGAGCTATAAACCAACATACCCTTGCCTCCGGCACACATATACATATGCCCCAATACACAATTCATATGGAGACACGTCCTTAAATGACTTTAGCTGATGAAAGGATATTAAACTTTGTACAATCAACCAGCACGGCTACCAAACCTTACCGCCACTCATTCAAATCTGAACGACAAGGCGAGAGTTGTAAGTACCAAGGAGAGAATATAAAACTTGGTTTAACTTTTAACCCTTTTGATTTGTGATTTACATTTAACTACAATCACATGTTTTGTGGGGTTTTACAACTACGTAAATGAAATCGTTGACTTCGGGTGATGGTGATTTTTTTCAGTTTGTCAGTTTTCCTAAGTGGTGTACCTACACATGATAGCATCGCCACCATCCTGCCTCATGCACACACGCATGCATTACTCTGAAGTCATGTCCTTAAATTACCCTTGCTGTTAACAGTACGTTGAACTGTCCTGAAATGACCATATCTGTTAAGAGTACATTAAAATCTCTTTAAATAACCATTAATGTTAATAGTACGTTAAACTCCATAAGTGATTATTAATACACATTGCATAGAGTCATGAAATATGAATATGCGCCTTGGGCTATCTTGGATGGGAGTAGCTGTATGTACTATATCATTATTGCATTCTGAATGGCCCATCAACACAGGAGACGGCATAAGGACCAAGAAATGGTCGATAAAATCATGTTAGAAGTAATGATTCAAAACAAACGAGAAAGTAAAAAAACAAATGTCATTTTGGATACTTAAAATGACTGTCAGATACATTTTTCGGAACAAACCAACATGTTTTTGGTAAAGGTACATTTTGTTTTTACACTTTCGAACAGAGATTTAAGACATGCAACAGTATTAAAGAAAGTGTCACGCTTTGGCTGAAGGTCAATTAATAAATGTTTTACTGTGAATTGTTCCTGACATGCTATGCATCCCAGCAGGTCTTTGCCCTGAAATGAACAAAAATGAGTAATGAGTGATATATGAAATACCAGCAGACGGGCAACCTTGTCTCACATTTTAAACTTTTCCTAAATAATAGAAAAGAATTGTGACAATTTTACTTTGTTCTTGCTTTGTTGTAATCAACATTTGGTTTTGTTTTATTTTGTCAGAGGCTGATGAACTCGATAGTGCCACCAGGAGACTGGGGTCCCAATGACGACCGTGTGCATCATACCTATACAATGTACAAGTACAACATGTCATTCTGGCAAATGGCAAAGGTCAACATAACAGGGAGACCTACAAAACCAGAGACTTGATTCGACATTTTAAGTATAAAGTTAACTATGTAGAATAGAACAATACCGCCTGTATAATGACTTCTTGAGAATGTTATCATGAACTACAATTAAAAAAAATAGATCTATTAACAATACTGTACTTTTTTAAGATTACCTAGACAGAAGTTTCATTTGTTTTGTATATTCATGTCCAAGCAACAACTATATTTGTCTTAAAGTGCTATCTTTCTGAAATGCCAACATCACCGTGGCATGCAAGTCCGGAAAATGAATATACTTCATTAATTCAAAGGCGAGTAATGAAGATACAAATACGACCACAAGAAATCTGCTGCACCCATTGCAATATTTGGGCCTCACTTTTTGCTTTAATGTTAGACATTCGCCCAAATGAGCAAGACAATGAGTTCTGTTCTCAGGCTAGGACGTACCAAAAACATAGTCATTAAAAATAGAAGTTCCTTGCTTAACATTCAGCATTTAGGGAAATGCCAATAACTGGTTCGCCTGTTGTCAGTATAATGAAACCGGGCGGAATGCTACTGTATGCTGCGTGCCTTCATCATGGTGTTTCAGCGAGATAACAATACAAAGTTGGCATCAGAGCTGCGCTATTACAAGGAGACAATTATACCGACATACCCTGCCTCCAGCACACATACAGACATCCATGCATACAGAACACACATGGAGGCACGCTTTTAAATGAAAAAGAATTTAGCTGTTGATAGGACGTTATTCCCTATAAAAACTTAAAACCAAACTTTATCATTAACGAGGTACTAATAGAGTAATACTGTACACACACAGTTCCAGCTCAACACGTGCATATTCGGTTAAGAGAAAGCTTGCTGTATCCCTCTACATGATTGTGAGCGGCGACTACTATGGGGGCCCCTGCATAATCAGGGGTGGGTTTTCTCTTGGTGTTCTGTTTCGGGGACATTGAAGAGACTATGAATGTATCCCACGTGCAGTGTATACATAAAGAGGACTTATTCGGGGGCCCCTTCAGAGAATCTGAATTTTGAAATATATATAATAAGTATTTGGTTTATTTTTAAATTGAGGTATTCCTTTTTGTGAACGCCTATTTTTCGTCGTGTTTACATGTTGTCGCTGTAAGTAAGTAACACGAAATTACATTTATTTTCGAACGAAATAGGAAATTCATTTAATCTATTGGCATACGACTTCACAAACTACTGGAAAATTAGGCTTTCGACAAATCATCAATCTCAATCTGTGTTATGTCTGAAAATTCACCATGGATATTGAGTATTAGACAATACGCAACAATATCTATTCCCCCTGTTTCTAAACATTTTCTTCAGGTTGGTAAGTATGGATTATGAAAAGTGGTTGNTGTATTGTCACCCCCTTAGTTATGATGGTAAGTCTATATACAGATACCCTGGTTTATTGTCACCCCTCTAGTTATGATGGTAAGTATATATACAGATACCCTGGTTTATTGTCACCCCCTTAGTTTTGTTGGAAAGTCTATATACGGATATCCTGGTGTATTGGCACCACTTTAGCCATGGTGGTAAGTGTATACACGGATAGTATTGTGTGTCGTCACTCATTTACCTTGGTTATGATGGTAGGTCGATATTTAGGTTAAGGCATTCGGATATAAAATTATAACGTTACGTTATGATGGTAAGTCTATACACTAATACCTTGGTAATATCTTTAAAGTAAAGAGAAAAGTGTTCATGTTATATAAAATTAATCGACTTTACAACAGTTATGAACAAAATTATTCGAGTTTACATTAATCACTCGTTGACCCAGACGGAAGCACAGACAGGATATTGTTGCTAGGGGAACATTGGGTATCGGGAGGAAACCAAAGTGGTCAGGCAGATGAACCGTCTGTGTGAAAGCGTGTGTGTTATCCAATACGACAACCGACATTCAAATTTGTGTCTATTTTTTATGTTGAGCGACAGGCTCATTTAAGTCCTCAACCGAAATGTTCAGCAACTTTTGAAACAACGTTCAGCCATTCACTGTTGTTTTTCGTATAAACAGTAAATGTTTATAACTTAAGCACGATACGGCCCGGACAATTTCGTTGACCGGCAAGTTCATTTAGGGTTCGAATCCCAGTCTAGCTCCGCAAAACTTTTTACACTTGGAACACTCTTGTTTGTGTTATATGTTGTATACCATCTTAATTTATGTTTTATATAGGTCTGTTAGTTCTCTTGTTAAAGAAAATGATTTATCAAAGGTATAGTCATGCTAGAAAAAATATTCTATCTATTAGTTACATTCTGCAATATTTCACGACTGCGTAACCACTTACCGTATATTTCCAGCAAACTCTGTTTGAATGTATGCGACTGGTAAAAAGCCATTCAAAATTTATCAGATAGAATATTTCCAAAATTATGAATGAAAAATGACGGTTCGTTAACTCTCTCAGTCGTCTCACAATACTGATTTTCACCAGTAGCCCTTTGATTAAGTGCGCTCCATATAGAAAACTTCCTGACATATATTTTATGGGTATATCGTCCTACACGGGATATTCCCGGTACACCTACAGCGGTATATACAATCGCATTAATATCGTTGTTACACAGATGATGAATATTTCTACAATAACAGAGCTAGTTTTAGGGGCATACAGTACAATGATCTGTATTTCACGCACGTTTACAAAATGTTGTAAAAACTTGACTAGACCTTATCTGGTGTTATCAACTTGTTAAACCGATAAATAAGAACAAGAGTGGGTTTCGCTATGATCAGTATTCCTTTCTCGCCATCGTTTTAGCCGCCAATGTTGCTCGGTGAAACCTTTTGGAAGGTTTTGAATATAAAGGCAGGATAACGATGTGTAATGTTGTAACTCTAGAGTCAAGCTTGTTTTAGGTTCGAGCGACGTACTTAAGATTGGTTGGTTATATAAGATTTAACGTCCTATCACCAGCTAAGATCATTTAAAGATGTCTTTGTGTGTGTTGTGTATGTGTGTATGTGTGTATGTGTGTGTATGTGTTCATGTGTGTATGTGAGTGTGTGTATGTGTGTATGTGTGTATATGTGTATATGTATATGTGTGTATGTGTATATGTGTGTATATGTGTATGTGTGTATGTGAGTGTGTGTATGTGTGTATGTGTGCTGTGTATGCGTGCATGCGTGCATGCGTGTATGTGTGCTGGAGGCAAGGTATGTTGGTGTATGTTTCCTCCTGGTGATAGCCCGTATCTGATGACAACTTTAAAGTGCTATCTCACTGAAATACAACGTGGAATGTGAAAGGAACCCAGCATAACATTCCGCCCGGTCACATTATACTGACAACGGGTGAAACAGTTGTTGTTGTTATTCCAAGTGCTGGACGTTAAGCAGGGAATATAAACTGACATTTTTAAGGACTCTGAGCCCATTGCTTTCCTCACTATGGCGAACGTTCAACATCACAACCAAATTGAGGCTTTGCCAAAGAAGTCGCTAGCAAACGAAAGGTAGTTAGAAGTAGAAATACAAATATCCAAAATATTGCAATGGGTGCAGCAGACTTATTTTGGTCGCTTTTGTGTCCACAAAGTAGAGGGCACAAAAGCAAATCCCCATTTCTGCAGGGGGTTCCTGCATTAACTGCCGAAGACGGATTTCAGTCTTGTGACGTTTAATTGGTGGGAATAAATCATTCACCTTACGTTACAATATATTGCTCAATAGGCAAGTTACATTTGCAAATTCTTTTAAACTCATCCCTACATTGTAGCAGGTACTGACCACATAGGTTTAACTTACAGTTACCCGAAAAAGTTCTAATTCTGCAACTTTCCAGTGAAAAGTTCAAACTTTACAACTTTCCAGTTACCAGACTAATAATATGATCCTACCCCTAAATCACCATTCGACATTGTAGCCATAAAATAACACATTGAAAGTTACAAGTAACAAAGTAAACTAAATGTTACTAAGTGTAAATAGGAGTAACTACATTTTTATGCAGACGATTACTATATTTATTTATAGCTTGCGTTCATTGCTGTGCTAGTGAACTTTGACCGTCCTGTGTACAAGGGTTACGAATACCCAGAATACATAGATATCGTCGGAATCCTAATCGGCCTTGTCTCCGTCCTACCGACTCCGGTCATCGTCCTGAAGCGACTGGTCAAACAGCGCGGCTCCCTTACACAGGTAAGCATGATGAGCATGTTTTCGTACATATAAACCATTTATCATTTACCATCGATCTAACTGGTGTTGGGCGGTTGTTACGGTTTACCGTCCTATCGTCAGCTAAGGTCAATGAAACCCGCCATGTATGTTTGATAACACATAGATAAGTATTGCAGGTGTGAAAGTAAGACAACTTTGGTCTTGTCGATAACGCCTTAATAGAAGGCATCGAAGAAAAACCAAGATTATGCACGTGCCCAACACACATTTTGAGACAATGTAAGCGGGAAGGGGAACATAATGTCTTTGCATCAGCCAAGGACATTTGAAGGTGACTGCCTGAAGAGACAACGCCGAAAACAAAAAGTGGGACAAGAAAAATAAAAAGATCCAAAGTGTTGCAATGGGAGAAGCAAATTAATTTAGATTTTGAAGAAAACCCTTGTTTGTTAGGTATTGTCCAATGACTCACATTGTGAATGATTGTCATTAAATAGTCAGTTGGGGGTTCAAACCAAAGTACTTATAAATGGTAATTGTTATTCCCTGCTTCACCTTCACTATTTAGGGCAATGGTAACAACTGGCTTTCTCATTGTCCCTATAAAAAAATTAATGTGACCGGGCGGCATGCTGCGCTGGTTGCCTTCGGCATGGTTTTTCTGTAACATAGGACAATAAAGTCGGCATCAGATCCGAGCTATAAACCAACATACCCTTGCCTCCGGCACACATATACATATGCCCCAATACACAATTCATATGGAGACACGTCCTTAAATGACTTTAGCTGATGAAAGGATATTAAACTTTGTACAATCAACCAGCACGGCTACCAAACCTTACCGCCACTCATTCAAATCTGAACGACAAGGCGAGAGTTGTAAGTACCAAGGAGAGAATATAAAACTTGGTTTAACTTTTAACCCTTTTGATTTGTGATTTACATTTAACTACAATCACATGTTTTGTGGGGTTTTACAACTACGTAAATGAAATCGTTGACTTCGGGTGATGGTGATTTTTTTCAGTTTGTCAGTTTTCCTAAGTGGTGTACCTACACATGATAGCATCGCCACCATCCTGCCTCATGCACACACGCATGCATTACTCTGAAGTCATGTCCTTAAATTACCCTTGCTGTTAACAGTACGTTGAACTGTCCTGAAATGACCATATCTGTTAAGAGTACATTAAAATCTCTTTAAATAACCATTAATGTTAATAGTACGTTAAACTCCATAAGTGATTATTAATACACATTGCATAGAGTCATGAAATATGAATATGCGCCTTGGGCTATCTTGGATGGGAGTAGCTGTATGTACTATATCATTATTGCATTCTGAATGGCCCATCAACACAGGAGACGGCATAAGGACCAAGAAATGGTCGATAAAATCATGTTAGAAGTAATGATTCAAAACAAACGAGAAAGTAAAAAAACAAATGTCATTTTGGATACTTAAAATGACTGTCAGATACATTTTTCGGAACAAACCAACATGTTTTTGGTAAAGGTACATTTTGTTTTTACACTTTCGAACAGAGATTTAAGACATGCAACAGTATTAAAGAAAGTGTCACGCTTTGGCTGAAGGTCAATTAATAAATGTTTTACTGTGAATTGTTCCTGACATGCTATGCATCCCAGCAGGTCTTTGCCCTGAAATGAACAAAAATGAGTAATGAGTGATATATGAAATACCAGCAGACGGGCAACCTTGTCTCACATTTTAAACTTTTCCTAAATAATAGAAAAGAATTGTGACAATTTTACTTTGTTCTTGCTTTGTTGTAATCAACATTTGGTTTTGTTTTATTTTGTCAGAGGCTGATGAACTCGATAGTGCCACCAGGAGACTGGGGTCCCAATGACGACCGTGTGCATCATACCTATACAATGTACAAGTACAACATGTCATTCTGGCAAATGGCAAAGGTCAACATAACAGGGAGACCTACAAAACCAGAGACTTGATTCGACATTTTAAGTATAAAGTTAACTATGTAGAATAGAACAATACCGCCTGTATAATGACTTCTTGAGAATGTTATCATGAACTACAATTAAAAAAAATAGATCTATTAACAATACTGTACTTTTTTAAGATTACCTAGACAGAAGTTTCATTTGTTTTGTATATTCATGTCCAAGCAACAACTATATTTGTCTTAAAGTGCTATCTTTCTGAAATGCCAACATCACCGTGGCATGCAAGTCCGGAAAATGAATATACTTCATTAATTCAAAGGCGAGTAATGAAGATACAAATACGACCACAAGAAATCTGCTGCACCCATTGCAATATTTGGGCCTCACTTTTTGCTTTAATGTTAGACATTCGCCCAAATGAGCAAGACAATGAGTTCTGTTCTCAGGCTAGGACGTACCAAAAACATAGTCATTAAAAATAGAAGTTCCTTGCTTAACATTCAGCATTTAGGGAAATGCCAATAACTGGTTCGCCTGTTGTCAGTATAATGAAACCGGGCGGAATGCTACTGTATGCTGCGTGCCTTCATCATGGTGTTTCAGCGAGATAACAATACAAAGTTGGCATCAGAGCTGCGCTATTACAAGGAGACAATTATACCGACATACCCTGCCTCCAGCACACATACAGACATCCATGCATACAGAACACACATGGAGGCACGCTTTTAAATGAAAAAGAATTTAGCTGTTGATAGGACGTTATTCCCTATAAAAACTTAAAACCAAACTTTATCATTAACGAGGTACTAATAGAGTAATACTGTACACACACAGTTCCAGCTCAACACGTGCATATTCGGTTAAGAGAAAGCTTGCTGTATCCCTCTACATGATTGTGAGCGGCGACTACTATGGGGGCCCCTGCATAATCAGGGGTGGGTTTTCTCTTGGTGTTCTGTTTCGGGGACATTGAAGAGACTATGAATGTATCCCACGTGCAGTGTATACATAAAGAGGACTTATTCGGGGGCCCCTTCAGAGAATCTGAATTTTGAAATATATATAATAAGTATTTGGTTTATTTTTAAATTGAGGTATTCCTTTTTGTGAACGCCTATTTTTCGTCGTGTTTACATGTTGTCGCTGTAAGTAAGTAACACGAAATTACATTTATTTTCGAACGAAATAGGAAATTCATTTAATCTATTGGCATACGACTTCACAAACTACTGGAAAATTAGGCTTTCGACAAATCATCAATCTCAATCTGTGTTATGTCTGAAAATTCACCATGGATATTGAGTATTAGACAATACGCAACAATATCTATTCCCCCTGTTTCTAAACATTTTCTTCAGGTTGGTAAGTATGGATTATGAAAAGTGGTTGTTACACAACCAATAAAATTTTCTATGTGACGTTTCGATGACTAGTACGACATGTACACTGTCACCTTCAACAGACAAATGACCAGTGAAGCGTATGCACACAAAGGTGTAAAATGTGTACGAGTTGTCCAAAAAAACTCGATGTCGATGTTAATGTTATCTTTTTGAAGCCAGACGTTAATTGGTGTTCGGGAAGAACATGGTCGCTACGTTGATCTTAGTTTTGCATGATAAAGGGGGAGCTTTCCGAATGAAATATTCGGTGCTTGCAGGGAATTCCATTGGTTGACATTTGTCGTATGATGTAGGCTACTACTCACTGGTATTGAATAACGAATCACGGTACATGAAGACATTTCTAAGAAAACTTGTATGACGAGTATAATGAGAGAGAAACGCGGTATAGCGAGGCATTTTCATTAACACCAGCATATTGTTAACTTACCATTATAACAACAAAACGACTTCACAGTGAGCTTTTGGAAAATGAATGTAAACATACGCAGGTAATAGCACCTGTTACCTTCAGTAATCGATACAGTATTCCAAACATTAATTACAATGTACAGCTGTATTAGGTGGAAGTTTTCGTATCATTCAACCTGTAATTACATATTTTAATGTTGTATATAAAAACCTCCTTCTATACTATATTTTTAATCACCAGATAAGTTCATATGTGAAAGCAATTGATCTGCTTGAGTACAGTAGTATATACATTTTTCGTTACAATGCAAACGATTTAAAGTACTAGCAATTGACTAATTTGACACGAGACCTAAGCTTACTTTCATATTGACATTAAGTATACCTTTACATTGTTATAAAGGTAAAACAACAAGTGTTATACAAATCTTGTCAGTTGGTTTTCACGCAGTTATTCAAAATCGTCCTTTTCAATTTAAAAAAAGGTTTGACTGTATATAGTTGAATATAAAAATGACATTAAGGCTGATCGTCATGTCGTAAAATGAAAACGTGTACTACGTAAGTATCTCCTGTGTATCCCAAGGGATTATATTGAATTCCTGTTTTGGTAAACATACACAACTTTAGTCCCAATCATTACTAGTCCGTCCACTCATTCCGTCTTTGCGTATTGCAGAGTTATCTTCTCTTGGGAACAGGTATTGATTGTTACGTCATTGGTTTGTGCGAGAAAATTACGTCGTTTTCTCAAAAATTGATGACGTTACTCTCACAAACAAGTGACGTAACAATCAATGCCTGCTCCCAAGAGAAGATAACTCTGCAATACGCAAAGACGGAATGAGACGAGTAGGATCATTGCCTACCCGAACTCCACTACCTCCGAAACTTCTCAGCAGGCAAAATTGCCTTAATCCCTTCACAATCTTTAACTTGGCCATACAAGATGACTGTCAAGTCCAGTTATAACACCGATGTCTATAGTTCGCTCCTCTTACAGGGATATCTTACTATCTGTCCCGAAATGTATCAATTTCGTCCCATCTGTCTTGCACCTTAACGCGATAGTTTTGTTCTTAATACAGGCGATGTATTTATATACGCGTGAATAAACACCTATCATTTTAAATATTTTACTTTGTCAGTAAATGTATTGATTTGGTGTTAATGAATTCTCGATAGTCCATAAATCAGATCATGTGCTCAGTGGAGAAATAGTTTAATCTCTTTTTTAACACAATTAACGTGGCTTATGCGGAGGCATTCAAATACAGATTTTGTGGGGAAGAGGTCATATTAAATGGAACACTTGTTAAATATGATTAAAATAAATGCCCCCAACTGCGATACAGCCTATAAAAAAGTAGATATTAAGCAACTCATCCGTATCGACAAAAAGGCAAATGTTCATAAAAAGCAGAATACTGACATTGAGAGTTTATAGTTTGACAAAACAGCCCTGCGCAAGTTAGTTACAGAGGTTCTTTAAACACGTACACTGTGAAACTGGTTGGGCCGACCTGCTCCACTGATCTACAGCGGTACTCGTGCGTGATCGACCATTGCTGGTTTAACAGGCAGACGGACATGATGTATCACCCATCTCTCGCGCACAATGATATCAAGGAAAAAGGTAAGATATGTCGCCGTTTGTAACGTTCCTACACACTTAGCTTACTTGGTCAGCAGTTGGTGAGAGGTAGTTTTGGTAGGAATGTTCCCTACTGGTGTGCCTGCTACTGCTACACTATTGACGTTCCACACGTCCGTCAGTATGCTGGCGGCTTTTAAACACGCGTCCCTTGGTGTGTTGTTTCCTAAACTTATGGGTAAAGATATTAGAAGTGTCTTGGTTGTTTTGTTACACCCTTATATATATAAAAAAAACACGTTATTTTTGTCAAAGCATCGTCATGAAGTTTAGATATCTCGGAATGTCTAAAATGATTTTATGGCAAATTTTAGCTTGAAGTGACAACTCTTTACAACTCTGAGAGGTTACTAGAAAAAGAGGTTTTACAGGGGCGGGTCCAGGTGAGGGCGTAAGTAACGCCTTATACCCTAGAATTTGGAATTTCTCGTTATTGGTCTACTGCTGTTAAGATCCATCCAATCATTTTAATATACCATAGACAGTTAATGGAAAGAATTCGGCATAAAAAATGTCAAACCCTGACACTTTAACTATAAAATATGCATGCTCCAAGTCAGGAACCGCTACATTAGTGCATTTCACAATTATTTTATGTTTTTTAGCAAAAAAAAGGTCCAAAAAGATTTGATTCCTCTTTCAAATATCCTAGAAACGCCCCTGGTTTATATACATGTAGCCAGGTTAAAAAACGAGTAGTGAAGTTATATTTAGAGCCTGACCGAAAAGTCAGTGTGTATATACTTGTGCTGAGTTGTAACACACAAATGCATTACAGGCGGGTTGTTACTGGTATATCTATTTCGTAAAACTTTAATGTAATGTGTTTGCTTTTGCCTCATCAAGTTTCCCTTCTGATATTTCTTGCTAGTTTAATTTCTATGAAGTTAATATAAACGTTTCTGTGCCATTATTAAAGACCAAGCAAATCAGTACCGATACCGATCAAGCTGAATAAAACTAAACACACGAAATGCGAAAAGACCTGATAGTAAATAGTGGGTTTAAAATTGTGTTTTCAGCTGTGTGTAATGTATGCGTTTGTCCTGAAACGGTTTGTTTGTCTGTTAATTTCCTTGCACTAGCGAAAACCCGATGACCACTTTAAATTGCTATTATGTGACAATTCTTATACCAGTCAATTAGCTTAAATTAATGATGAATGATAAGCAGTAAATAACAATCATTGCAATACGCAAAGACGGAATACTATGGATTACAACGAACGCAGCCGTTCCAAGTAATAATAAATAATCACATCTTGTAGGCGGACCTCGTTAGCTGCATATGCATCGTTTTTTATAAGATATCATTTCATTCATCAGTCTTGAATTAGTTAGCTTATGGCACATTGTGGCACTACATGTTCACATATTCTCACAACGTGACACAACACGTCAACATATAATTTGAATTTTGGATTAAAATTACTGCTTCACTCCACTAAGTCATGAAAACTAAATTAATCAATAACTCATTTAAGATCAAGATATCATACTATAACACTTTATTATTCATGTACGTTTGCGTATGACCTCAGCTGAAGATAGTATTAAGTTAGACCATGTACAACCAACTGACCAATCATTCATAAAGAACCCGTAGTATCGCTTTGAATGTTGCAATTCATTTTACACCCAAAGCCCGAAATTCCAGTCTAAGCTATTTTGTATCTACTTCCTATCCCCAAGGTTGCTATGGAAACTGACCAGATCGTCTGATCCCTTATCAAAAGTTAGATCTGTACCGCGTCTGACCCAGATACATGCATACTGACATGGGTGGTGTAGCACACTAATTGAATAAACCGCACTCGGTGCGGGTGTATTGTCATAGTGGATTAGATTAAGACTGGAAATATTGTTACAGACAACTTATAAACAACCGATTATCGTAACTCCACACTCTAACATTTCCCAGTTATGAATTTAAATAAAATCCTTCAATCATTTTTGTTTCACAGATTGTCTTATTTAAGTTTAATTGCAAAATGACCGCGATCTTATGTCTGCACACGTGTAAATAAACAGTATTGGACAAAGGGATTTGATTTAAACGCCGAGTTCCTGTAGCAATGAGGAGAGAAGATAAATCATTTACAACAATGGGTCATGTCAATTACTGTGGTGAACTATAAAATAAAGACACATTTAAAGTATTTTTGATAATCAACCGCATCTTATGGTAACCGGGATTAAGTTTCAACATATCAAAACGTGTTATTCAATATCATTCTGAATTTTATACGAACACGAGCAAACAAACACGCGTTGTCTCATGCATGGCCGGACTGATGTTCCGGCTATTCCAGAAAATGTAAAATTGTTTGAATGTAAATGTTTGAACATTCCAAGGACATACTGGAGTTATGTACATTAATTGACGTTTGTTCCAAGAGGAAAGAATTTCCCAAAAGATGACCATGTACGTCTCCGAAATCAAGTGTGAAGTAATCATTTATCAGTTTCTCGTCAGTTTTCCAACACGCTTTGAGAAAATAGCAGAAAACGGAGAAATACCGCTCAAATAAGGGAAGGTGAAAATTTGAATTGAGTTTAATAGGCGAATCAACACTTCGCCGTGATTTTTTGCAGAGCATAAGCCGCTCCGAATAAAAACCGGTTAAAAACCGGAAATATTCGGTTAAACAAAATTCCAACACGCGAAATCTTACTGTAGAAATTCAACACAAAAAGGGAGGCTATATCGGCGGTTCCTTATGACAGCCGATATGCTACTCTCTTAGAAACGTGTTTGAAAACATGGATAATCTTTAACATGATTCTAGAAACGGTAGGTACGTGAATAATACACACATATGTATGTCGTACTGATATGGGCTACAGCACGTGTGTATAGCAGATGTGTATTTAAGGGGTTTATTTTACGTGCGTGAATCAAAATATGACAGCACACATTGATCCATAACAGTAAAGCATGTATATGTTTGTAACGAATCCCAGTGAATGAATATAAACTCAAAAAAATGACTGAAGTTGACAAATAATAAATTCAAAAACTTATCATGTATCATACTGCATCATACTGTTGGGGCCATTTTTCTGTATGGAAGTGTTTTAAATTAAATGTTGAGTCCTATTTTAACACATTTGTTTCATTAACTTGTAATAAGTTAACTTGGAAAAAATAGTGTTTACTATGATTTTTTTTTTTGGGGGGGGGGGGGGGGGGCGGTGTGATTGGATTAACGTTGCTTTGGAAATACAAATATCTACAACTGCCTGATCATAAAATCAAAAGTCAAATATTACCTGTATATATGTGTATAACTATGTCAATGCACCAAGTATCCATTTAACTCAAAATGGCAAGGTATTAACAACCACTGAAAACTAAATTCAACATCAAAAATACTCTCATATTTATAGACAGACTTGCCTATGATGTACAAATTCTAGATGTGTATGAACATTCAAATCACTTAATGTAAATATTATTCTTTTGTATTTGGTAAAAAAAAATATAAGTTCATGACTAATTATCAATAAATATTATGTTATCCCAAGTTGAGGAAGATATCATCGGTGTAGTCAATGGATATCGTATTGATTGATGTATTAGCAAGTGAAGCAACGCACAATCAATTCAACATGCGTACTAGCGCTGTATAATACCACATCTTAACTTTTGGCAGTGATGCCTGTGTTTGTTAAGCACATTTAGAATGATACTATTTTTGGCCACCCTCACCCTCACTCTCACCCTCACTTATTCCGTCTTTGCGTATTGCAGAGTTATCTTCTATTGGGAGCAGGTATTGATTGTTACGTCACTTGTTTGTGAGAGCAACGTCATCAATTTTTGCGAGAACGACGTAATTTTCTCGCACAAACCAATGACGTAACAATCAATACCTGCTCCCATGATAAGATAACTCTGCAATACGTAAAGACGGAATAACACTCCTGTCGTCCAGATTTTGGACATTTTAGCCTTCTTTGAGGATACCTTAAGATGATGGACAGAAAAATGAAGACACTGTTTTCTCGCTTCTTTCTGGTGACTGGGTAATTGGGGTAATACAATTTGAAAACATCCAACAAGGTTTTTCAATATAACACTGTAGAAGAAAACATCAAATTGTATTCTCTGTACAAATTTTCCATTCACCGTATATACAAAAAAAAAGTCACACTAAATTTTACTAGTTATTGCTAATTTTATACTGTCCTGCACTTTGGCTTTATACAAAGAACAAGTTTTTAATGACAGATGCTAATTTCATCCAGATTTCAGTTAGCTTGGTGGTACTGAGCACTTGCCAAAATCTGAACATTTGTCACATTTGACAAAAAGTGGGCATTTGATTTCAGTTAAACTATCACTACAACATGAGCATGAGAGCAACGAGTCAGGTGAAGCTGCTAAGAAATTATTTGTTTTACCAACAAACAAGCCGATGTTTTAACATCTTGGTGTCGGTATTTTTATACGTTTGCAGACACTTGTTTTTAGTTCCGGATCAAGACCATATTTCAAAGAATACATTTTTCAACCATCTGTAGTATAGCCAACGAGTTTCGAAATTAATGATTAAACATCTGTATGTGGTTTTTTCACTGTGAAATTTGTCTTTGTGTAAACAGAAAAGAAAGTAGATGCTGTGATGCATCTTGATTGATCTTGGGTTTGCTTCTTGATAAACTGGACTCCCTCTGGCAACGGATTTGACCTAGTCTGAAAAACAGAAAAGAAAGTAGGGGTATTTGCATTGTGCACCTACATGTCACTTACTGTATAACATAAACATTCTGTGGTTTTTTTTCTCTTCACCACACATGTATATGATAAAAATGTTACAATATGACATTTTTCATACGATATCTGAAATTGCTCGCGACCTAAACACAGGAGTTTGTTATTGTATCGTATGACAACATACTACATAGGTTATTGTCTTATGATATAAGATCATTCACATTTTTTCTCATTATCTGTTGATCAAAACAAGCTCCTATATCAGGTCTTTGAAATGAATTTACATATTAAGGATGTAATTGTTTGAGGCATGTCATGTATGTTCATCTTGTGTATAAAGAATAGATCTTTCGATCCATGTGCGACATGTGTGTGAAAGTGACGATTTGTTTCTAAAATATCAGTTTGACGAGCGACCCTGACGCGGGTCGCTTATTTCCCGCATATTATAGAGGGCCGGAGTTCTGACGTTAATCGACGACAAACCGATATAAAAAAAAGTCGATAAAACGTCAGAATAATTCGGACTAATTGCAGGGTTGCATGAGAATTTTCGTTTTAAAGAATAAATGCCACAAATCTTGATTCTGTGATAAAAAGGATCTTACAATCGTTTTTATTTTATATGAAATTTATGAAACTCGTCACGAATTTTTTATTTAAGCTCGCCAGACGCTCGCTAAATTGAAAAAATATTAGACTCGTGTCATAAATCTCATATGAAATGGACACTCATGTCTAACTAACATTAAACGATTGATCGTAAAACAAACATGTCTGCCTTTCTTTTCTATATGCATGGGGACTATTGATATAATTCGCACCAACGAGAATACTTTGTGGTAGCTTTACTTTCCGCTTATTTATACTGTATATCAGGTCTCCTCTGTGATAAATAATCAATATCGGGCCACCCTGTGATCTATAGAACACATTGTGATATAAAGTGAATAGCACCGTGATTGAAAAACACATCAGGTTAACCTTGTGATATAAAGTAAATATCTGGTCTCCCCAGTGATGTATTACTCACATCTGGCAACCACTATTATATAGTGTACACATGGTGTCTAAAATGTTATGAATATAACATGTCAGGTCAACACTATAATAAGTATAACAAATCAGGTCTACATTGTGATATATATATCAATAAACAGGTCAACCCTATGATATAAAGTAATAATTTGGTCAACCCAGTGATATATAGTAATAATTAGGTCAACTCCCTTATATTTAATAAAAATTAGGTCAACCCTGTGATAAATAGTAATAATTATGTCAACCCTATGTTAAATAGTAATAATCAGGTCAACCCTATGATATATAGTATAAGTTAGGTCAACCCTGTGCTATGTTTTAATTCCCCGGTCATCCTGTGATATATAATATTAATTAGGTCAACCCTGTGTTAAATAGTAAGAATTAGGTCAACCCTGTGATAAATAGTAATAATCAGGTCAACCCTGTGATATATAGTAATAATTAGGTCAACCCTGTGCTATGTATATATGAAACATCAGATAGCACCTGTCATATTTAGTAAACAGCAGGTCACTACTGGTCTAGATCTATGAACTATATATTTGTCGTCCTTGTGGTGTGGAGTACACATTGGTCAGTCCTGCGATAAATAACCCACCAGGTCATCCCTGTGATAGCAGTATGGTCTATAATCTACAAACGTTTAATACTAGGTTTCATGTTAAGGTAGCAGTGTACAGTAGCGTACGGTGGTCATGGGTGATATTTTTGTACAATGAATAACCCCTGTAATATTACATGTATCAAAACTAAAAAAAAATCAGCTCTAAAATTGGCATATACATGATGAATTGGACTATGTGGGCTTCACATTTTTGGGCATTTACGAATCTGTGTCTACACAACAAAAGCATGCTTTTCAAGTAGTCTTTTTTTTTGTACACAGCACATGTGTAAATATTGTGAAAAATCTAGTTTGACGACCGATGCTAAAACGTCAGTATTTGTGACCGAGTAGGTGATATTTAATTTAAGACAGGTTTTAAGAAAAAAAAATACTACTTGCGTGGGTCAAATTTTTAAAAATAATGTTTTTTGCATTTTTTGATGTGGTAACCATGGTTTTCACAAGTCCCAAATCTGGGGAAATCACTTTTTGAAAAAATATTCATTCTTCTAAAAAAAAAAACGTATTCAAAATGTAGTTTATAAATATCTATATATATATGTAGGTGTGTTATGCAGGATTAATCTGCTATCCATGTTTTTCCGAGACATGCTATTTATTTTTAGGGTCAAGCCATTTCTACTGTACTCTGCCACCTATATATTGTACATGGTCCATGCATCTTTTCAGATGACGATGTTGAGATGACTGTGGCGGAAGGACTACTAGATGTGGAGAAGGACGAGGTACACCGGGACACATGGTCGAACAAATCAGACTTTATTCTCTCTTGTGTAGGATGCGCAGTAGGACTTGGAAATATATGGCGATTTCCCTACCTCTGCTACAAAAACGGGGGAGGTGAGTAAACGTATTTTAGTTGTTATAATTAGAACGAACTGTTGTTTATTTCTTATATATACGAATTGAAATACTGATTTGAGTCGCAAAAAGAAAAACATACGTTAACAAATAAGAACACAACGGTCAATAGTTAGTTCCATTATTTGCAAGTATGAAATTGTGTTCGTAATACAGAGATAAAATAGTGTCTTTCTCAAAATGTCACACTGCATTATGCTTGGTTCCCAGACTTGTGAGATTACCAGGCAAAGAAAGGGCAGCTCGAACAACAAACACGGCTTTATTGCTATCACCTGTTGATTTTAAACTTCATTTTACAGAATTTCAACATTTTATAACACATTCTGTTAAGGTCAAAGTGGCATAGTAATTGGAATGAATTCGTACACAATAAATCACTCTCCATAAAACCTCAAATCGGTTAATGGTATCCATGCTATAGAGAAAACCGCAGAACGAGATGGTTCATGCATTATCCATTCATATTTATTGAGACATGATGACTAGTCAAAATGTTTCGCATGTCACGAACCATTTGCAATAAAGCATTTCTTGTTAGGCCGCCCTGACCTTAAGCCGATACGAGAGCATTATACAGAGTAATCTCAACAATCTCAAATTTCCTTAGCTTTATTGGCCCAAATGACCTTTTCTGTGTTGAGTTGATAGTCAGTGGGAAAATAGACTTGAACGTGACATTAACGTAACATCTGACTAGATTGTTTAGATCTTCAGATTTCCCCTATAGCTTAACAAACTGTCTATCAAAGTCGCGCGGTGAAACAACGAGTGACTGACAACCGAAATAAATTTCAGCATTTAACACGTTCATTAAGATCACAGTTATATTTATAGTTTTATACGTGCATTCTTAGATTTAGAAACGGTATTGGAAAAAACCTGATACCCTAGCGATATAAAGAATGTTAAATTGGTATTTCATTATTAATATAGCATAACAATGTTGGAAATAGATTTCATAATTTCTTCATATTGTCTAAAACGAACCATTAATTGTAGTAATTATATTGTATATGTATTAATGTGAAGTTTATATCAAAAGGGAACAGATATTGGGGGGAGAAAGTTTTCGAATTTGAGTCAATTACCCCCAAAATATGTTGCAAATATCTTTTGTACATCATGAAAATGTAATTGAATGACCTATTGCGTTTATTTTAATGCCTATGAGTCACGTAACCAAGATCAGTTAATCAGGTGCGGCTCGACTTCCAATCACCCATCCATCAATAATAATAATAATAATAATAATAATAATAATTGGAGGTTCTTATATACCGCTTTATCACAACCTAGTTCGTAGGTAGTCTCGAAGCGGCTCACAAATTATTAATCGTGGTTAGAGGGCCTTTGCAACCAGCCAATATCTTTCTCAGCTCCCTGGGGAGCATACAGCCGGAGCTGTCATTTCGGCGCTAACAGCTAGCATTCAACCATTCTAGCACTGCCCGACCACGTACTCATTTACAGCTGAGTAGACTGGAACAAGCGGAGTAAAGTATCTTGCTCAAAGATACAACATAGAGCCGTGCCGTGACTCGAACCCGCACCCCTTCGGTCACGAGCCCGGCGTCCTACCACTGTATTGTATTGTTTATTCAACTTGAAGCCTTACGGCTCATAAGCATATATAGCAACGTATAATAGATACAACAGTGATATGAAATACCAAATAATTATAACATCATGAATGAAGCATAATCTTGTACATCGCATGTGTAAATGGACAGTATAATTCTTTAAATTATTATGAAGTACAAGATAAATAAATTATCGGAAGATGAACAGTTCTTATAAAATTACCTCACCTAAGTGTACTGTGGCTATCGGAAAACAGATAAAGTGACAACATTTTCTTAATAACCGGGGCTCAACAAAGAGTATGTTAATTACAAAAAACAAAAAACAGGCACACAATTTGTATACAGTGATGTAGTGATCAGGGGATGGACAAAACAATATGTGTTAACCTGGAAATAAACAAGTACTCAAATGTTAGTGTGATAAAAAACACAATAAACCACTAGACTACCGTGCTTCAAAAGGACCGCCGTTAACTAGCTTCTCGTTAGTTTACAAATTTATGTTTTGTTTGATTTGCTGTTTGCGAAGAAGTAAAACCTCAAACAAATACGGCACTGCAAACTCTACTGCAACTTCCGTTTCTCAGTTGGAAATATATGCCACCGTTTGTTTGTGTATGGTTTACGGTACTCACAAAAGCTAAGGTTCTATAAAGATGAGTACATAGGGAGATTACGCCGAAAACAAAACGGTAGTTAGATTTGTTTTCTTAATATATTTGCAATTACACAGACTATTTGGCGAGCGTTGCACAGGTAGATTAATTTTAAACATGGCACATGATTATCAACACCAATGATAATGTCATTACGTCGCTGCGTGAGGGAACCAAGGAAAGTGTTATTTTCAGGGGAAATGCATGTAACCCTATTGCCATACGCTTCGTACATTACTGAGTATGTTTCGTTATTTTTTAAGGTGGAAACCAAAGGCTCGTCAATATCGTCATATGATAATGTACAAATTATGTCATGTTAAAGGTGCCTTCCTCATACCGTATATGACGTTCTTGGTGCTGGGAGGTGTGCCCCTGTTCATGCTGGAGATAGGGCTGGGCCAGTATATGAGTCAATCCGGTGTGAAAGCATGGAATATTTGTCCGCTATTCCAAGGTAATATTAAAACAACTGCTGCCACGGGAAGGTAATGCAATACGCCATGTCTTAAATATTATGAAAATAAACACGGACAATAGACTGTGTATGTGTAACGTGACGTAGAGATAATAAGTGTCGTATAGGTAAAGATGTAACGTGTCGTAGAGATAATAAGTGTCGTATAGGTAAAGACGTAACGTGTCGTAGAAATACTTTGTGTCGTATAGGTAAAGATGTAACGTGTCGTAGATATACTATGTGTCATATAGGTAAAGATGTAACGTGTCGTGGAGATAATATGTGTCGTATAGGTAAAGACGTAACGTGTCGTAGAAATACTTTGTGTCGTATAGGTAAAGATGTAACGTGTCGTAGATATACTATGTGTCGTATAGGTAAAGATGTAACGTGTCGTAGAGATAATATGTGTCGTATAGGTAAAGATGTAACCTGTCGTAGATATAATATGTGTCGTATAGGTAAAGATGTAACGTGTCGTAGAAATACTATGTGTCGTATAGGTAAAGATGTAACATGTCGTAGAGATAATATGTGTCGTATAGGTAAAGACGTAACGTATCGTAGAGATAATATGTGTCGTATAGGTAAAGACGTAACGTGTCGTAGAAATACTATGTGTCGTATAGATAAAGATGTAACGTGTCGTAGAGATACTATGTGTCGTATAGGTAAAGATGTAACGTGTCGTAGAGATACTATGTGTCGTATAGGTAAAGATGTAACGTGTCGTAGAGATATTATGTGTCGTATAGGTAAAGACGTAACGTGTCGTAGATATACTATGTGTCGTATAGGTAAAGACGTAACGTGTCGTAGAAATACTATGTGTCGTATAGGTAAAGATGTAACGTGTCGTAGATATACTATGTGTCGTATAGGTAAAGATGTAACGTGTCGTAGAGATTCTATGTGTCGTAGAATTGTAACGTGTCGTAGAGATAATTTGTGTCGTAAAGGTAAAGATAAACCATGTCGTAAAGATACTATGTGTCGTATAGGTAAAGATGTAACGTGTCATAGAGATGTAATATGTCGTAGAATTGTAATATATCGTGGGGTTTTAACATAACGTTTGTGTTGTATAGTTGTAACGCGTCGTGAAGTTGTCACCAAAATATCATGTGTCGTGTTGTTGTTACGTGTCGTAAAGGAGTTGTTAGGTGGTTTTAACTTGCCTTACAGTTTTATCATATCATAGAAATGTAACGTGTCCTTGTACGGCGATGTGTATTGTTATTGTTTTGTCATATAGGAATATTTTGTGTCGTACAGTTGTAAATTGTCGTAGAGGAGATGTGTGTTTATGACGGTGTCGGTGTCTACAAAACAACTAATACAATTGTCACATCATATACTTCGTAAACCCAAAAGCAGATGATGTTTCTTTAAAAGCTGTACACTGATTTTGAAATATTCTTTCATGGCTTAGCAATAATCAAAAGCAAACCACCATACAGCATGGAGTTAGCAAACTGATGCGATGCAGATATTGAACATTTCATGAATTAACGAGCAAAAAAGATCGTAATGATGTTAACGATAAACTTATATATTTAAACGTCCTATACTTCATTACGTGCTAAAATAGACGTTCCTGTTCTGATCGTCCATCAATTTACTAATCACGACTTAAGTATCTACTCATTTTCTGACTTTTGTCAGAAAAAAACCTCGAACATGTTGTGACATTAAAACAATTATTTTATTAGAAATAAGAAGTAACGAATGCTAATTTTAACATGTGTCTTAACTATGTAGCATGTGTCTTAACTATGTTACATGTGTCTTAACTATGTAACATGTGTCTTAACTATGTTACATGTGCATCCCTGTACTGTTCTACCGGTACAATTACAGCTTTACCTCAGTTGACTTTACGGGTTTACCTGTGTACCTATAGAGTTTTACCTGTGTTACCTATACAGATTTACCTACGTTAAACAGCTTTGAATATTTACCCGTGGTACCTTAACAGATTTTCCTGTCGTACGTGTACAGATATTTCTTCGGTATCTGTAAAAATATAAGCGGTATCTGTACAGATATTCATGTGGTACCTGTAAAAATACTAGTGGTATCTGTATAGATATTCCTGTGGTACCTGTAAAAATACTAGTGGTATCTGTACAGATATTCCTGTGGTACCTGTAAAAATGCTAGTGGTATCTGTACAGATATTCCTGTGGTTCCTGTAAAAATACTAGTGGTATCTGTATAGATATTCCTGCGGTACCTGTAAAAATACTAGTGGTATCTGTACATATATTCCTGTGGTATCTGTAAAAAATAGTAGTGGTATCTGTACAGATATTCTTGTGGTACCTGTAAAAATACTAGTGGTATCTGTACAGATATTCCTGTCGTACCTGTACAAATACTAGTGGTATTTGTACAGATATTCCTGTGGTATCTGTAAAATTACCAGTGGTATCTGTACAGATATTCCTGTGGTACCTGTAAAAATACTAGTGGTATCTGTACAGATATTCCTGTGGTATCTGTAAAAAATACTAGTGGTATCTGTACAGATATTCCTGTGGTACCTGTA